AGGGCTGGGGAGATAGGTGAGGAGAATAAGTGCCTGCCTGGCAAGCGTGGGGTCCAGAGTTCAATCCCCGGTGCTGCAAATAAATAAATAATAAGATCTCTTGAATCTTGTTTTTAACTTTCAAAGAAATCATTTTATTAAAAATATCAAATAATTTGTGAATTAAGATGTAGCATGTAGATATGATCTGTAAGCCTAACTCACAAATCACTATTTTCATAATTATAAAAAGAAATCAAGAAAAGTTATTACATTACTGCCAAGGAAAAATAAATGACATTTTAAAGAAATGTTTTATATGAAAAAAATTTTAATGCTGAACATTCATCAATGGATAAAAATAGAGGTATTGATTACTACAAGGCGTAATAACATTCCTGAAAGATTTACATAAATAAAGAACTATATATGTAGCTGATCCCAGCATCTCGCTCCAGCTGTAGCCTGGGCAGCCCCGGGCTGGGGCGAGAGCCACAATGTCTCAGGCTGTGCAGACAAATGGAACTCGACCATTAAGCAAAACATGGGAACTGCGCTTGTACAAATTACAACGAACACCTCCGGAGGCAATAAGAGGTGGCTTGGACATCGTGGTTTCACCTAGAAGTCACCGCAGCGAAGTAATGTGCCCGATTTGTTTGGATATGATGACACACACTATGACTACTAAGGAGTGTCTGCATCGTTTTTGTGCAGTTTGTATTATTCCAGCCCTGCAAAGCGGCAATAAAGAATGTTCTACCTGTCAGAAAAAAACTGGTTTCCAAAAGATCACCAAGGCCAGCACCAAACTTTGCTACAATCATCAGCAAAGTTTATCCAAGTTGTGATGAGTAGGAAACTCATCCAGAAAGAGAATTAGCCAGGATCAACAAGCACAAGGAGCTCTGTGGTTATACTACTATTTCCAGTGAAATAATAATCTGTTACGCTAAATAAAGAATTGAGAATAATTTTTTATAAAGTTTATTAGTACGTTTTAAACTACACGATGATACACTGTATTTTTATTTTTTATGTAATTAGAGCAGAATCTATAGGGTGTACAGGGTCTCACTACATAGATTGGACTCATAGTGATCCTTCTGTTTTTAACCTCTCAAGCACTGGGATTATAGGCACACGCCACCACACCCAGTCTCAATCGCCCTCTCTGCAAGGCCGGGGCGGGCCGGCATGGCCTGCCTGGATCGAACCCCAGCTGCTGGGCTCGGCCTAAGCAGATGCTTTAGTCCGTTGAGCTATCTAGCCAGCCCTTAAGGATCTCCCCCCCCCCCACCCCTTTGCCTGGCTCAGCCCACCTTAAGGGCAGGAAGAATAATTTAATGGTAGGATTTTGGGGGGAAATTTTTATGTTCCATTTTCTTTCAGTTCCCCATTTTCTTTTTGCCTGCCTTTCAAATGAATGCAGATTGGTTACACAATTAGTGGGTTTCATTTTAGCAGACTGCAGTCAATGTCCAGACCACCTTCCCCTCCCCAGTTCCACATGTCTGGGGAGTTAACTGTATGCTGTATTTTGATCATATTCATATGCCCAGATTTTTAGAGGAGTACGAGGAGTGGCACTCAAGACCTCTGCATTGCACTGTATCTCTACCCCACTCCCTTTTTAACGTTTTTATTTTGAGACAAGGTCTAATCAAGGGGGCCGGGGAGATGGCTCAGTGGAATAAGTGCTTCCTGGCAAGCACAAAGGACTGAGTTCAATCCCCGGTTGCACCAAAAAAAAAAAAAAAAAGAAAAAAAAAAAAAAGGTCTAATCAAATCACTACCTCAGGCTGGGCTCAAACTTGCCATCCTAGCTCACTGGAGATTATAAATTAACTGCAAACAACAGATTACATTACATGGCTCTATTTTCTTTATACTCCACCAAAGATAAAAGTTGTCTGGTGTGCATTCCTGGGAAATAATCCAGATGCTTTGGCCTTGGAGGAGGGTGCTGTTAGAATTAACCTTGAAACAACCTTAGTTTTCCAGACAGAAACAAAATCTGGATACAAACAGGAGAAATAACTTTAGGAAGAAGGTGTTTGTACTTAACCAGAAAAAAAGTCCACCTGTCTTTCAGAAGAAGGGAGGTTTTACCATATGAAAAAGCCCCAAAGACTCTTCCAACCTGATAACATTATCTTGATCAGTTAGTTCACTTTGGATAAATTCACTGAGGAAAATAACAAAGTTTCTGAATATTCTGAATTGGTGAATAATACTTGCGGCCAGGGAGATAGCTCAGTAGGTTAAGCGCTTGCCTGGCAAGCACTAGGGCCTGAGTTCAATCCCCGGTTCCAAGAAAAAAAAAAAAAAAAAAAAAAGTCTAGTTGAATAATACTTGCAAATTTTACCATAATTCTTTTAAACCATTATAATTACAATGTAAGCCAAATAACTAGTTAACATGTACTCAGATATATTTTCTTTCCTATGTACAAATAAGAGACCTGGGTGAACTTTGCAAATTATTTTAAAGGATTTGCTTAATTTTCCACTTGATGAGAATATGATGTAATTTTTCTCTGGGCTGTAACAACTACTTGAAGACATTTATTCAGTGATTTTTTTTTTTTAAGAAGTAGGGATTGGATCCAGGGAACACTAAGATATATCTCCATCCTTTTCTATTTTTTATTTTGAGACAGAGTCTAGCTAAATTGTCCAGGCTGGCCTCAATCAAATTTGTGATCCTCCTGCCTCTGCCTTTTGGGTAGCTGGTATTACAGATGTGCACTAGCACATCTGTCCTAGTAAATAAGCATTCATAAAATAATACTGTAGGGAGCAGGTGAAGCTGGAATTTGGTCATATGTGTGGGGGCAAGACAAGGCGAAAGTACCTAAAGCAATCAAGCTACCTCGATCCTGAGAAAAGCATCCTGCCTGGGACAATTCCAGTTATTAGTTGCTAGACAACCCTGTGTCTCCTGATACTAACTTTGTGAAGAGTATAAATAATAAACACCTCACAGTGTTTGTTCAGTTCTTCTCCCATCAAGAGAGGACCTCTACCTGACCTCAACTCTTGGCTCTTGTCTTTATTTTCTAAATCCCTTTGACATTTCTCCCAGGCAGCATGGAGAGCCCAGCTGATTGGTGGCATAATATAACAGTTTCTACAGATGCTGTGATTGATTTCTGTCAAAAAAAAAAAAATACTTTTACTTAAGGTCACCACAACCTTATAACTTTTTAAGTGGCAGAGAGGACAAGTGATGTGTGTGTGCCAATCTAGGTGGTTAGAGGCAGAGTGGAAAACTTGGTCCAATCTGAAACAGCTCAGTACAACAGACAGCAGGGGTCCGTCTGGCTTGATGCCCGGCTCTGTTACTCGGCAGGTGTGTGACCTTGGGCAAACATCCTACCCGGTCTCAAATCCCAGCTCCTATCTGTGAACCGAGCAGATAACCTTTGATTGGAGTTATCGGAAAGGCGGGCTACGGCATGCACCCTTCATAGAGTACTAGAGAGTTGATGACCCCAGCTCACTGTCCTTTCTACTCAAGGTGACCTTGGACACATAAATAGCGGCAAGCCATTTAACCTTTCCGGGCCTTGACTTCTCTATTCATAAATGAAAAATAATTCAAACCATCTATTTTTTTTTTTTCAGTACCAGGGATTGAACTCAGGACTTTGCGCTTGCCAGGCAAGCGTTTATTCTACTGAGCTATCTCCCGGGCCAAATCACCTATTCTTGACAAGTTAACAAGTTACAACTTTGCTTCTTTTGCTGTGAGGACTGTGCTTGTACAGAGATTAAGTATGTCAATACATAAGAAATTATAAAACTACCAGTCTCTGCTGTAAAAATGAAGTCTTGCTTTAAGACACTCCAAAAACAGACATCAAGTGCTAGGGCAGGCCGGTACTGTATTTTATATGGTCCCCCACAGCTGAGCAGGCCAACAAGCACACAGCTATGAACATCAGCCTTTTACAGCTCTACCCTTGTCCTATATTTCTTTGCTTGATAAAAGTATTCATGATTGTTTAAAATTAAACAACAAAAAAAAAATCTATGGCCCTTCATAATGCAAGGAAACACAACAGCCACCTGTCATCCTCCAGAGAAGTTAGAAGGGGGTGGGAGGGAAGCTTTTCTGAAATCCAAATAGCAGGCGTTAAATGCCACTAGAATCCACGCGGCTCATGCACTGAGCGTGGGAGCAGAATGTCGCTCTCTGCTGGAGGAAGTTCTGTATCCAGAGCAGGTGACCCGGCAGGGCGGGGTACTCACCCAGGAGCAACCAAGGCTTGACCACGCCGACCTGCAGGTCTGCGCTAAGGTCCTGCACATAACCACAGCCACCCCCGCCGCTCGCCTCTACTTCTTCCACCACGTGGATGCTCGCCTCTTTCCACGTCTCTAGGATTTTCTTTCCCGTCAGCGTGGTCACCCTGGTGCATTGCTTCCTGAGGTTGCTCCGGGAGAACGCTTTGATTTCCTGGCTCAGGGAGTGCATTACATGGGTGGTGGCTGGGAACAAATGCAAGCAAACCCAGCGAGCAACAGGTGCTGAAATGCTCGTCCCTAGCGTAGTTCAGGGAACCAACGCAGCCTCTCGGGCGCTCCGCCCGCCGTGCAGGTGACAGACGCGGCCACCCGACGACACCCGAGCTCCAGCTGCGCTAGGCAGGCGCCGCCCTGTAAGGCGAGCTCTGATTGGCCGCTGAGACCCGGGCGCCGATTGGCTGCCGGTTCTTCTACTTCCGGTTGGTGGACCATGGCGTTTGCTTTGCAATCTGCGCTCCGCTGGGGAGGGTGCATGTTGTTGCTCTTTCGATCTAGCCCAGTTATATAAGTAGAATGGTAAATTTTAAGACAGAATTGGGGAGGGGCCGATGTCTGCTGGCCCTACTGATTGCAGTCGGTCATGGTGATGACCTGCGAACCGGTGCGTCCTCCCGCTTTGGAGCCGCGGCTGAGGGGAGCGTGCGCGGTGCCTCCGCGCAGGTGCAGTTATTTCTAGTGACGCGTGTCCCTCTCCCTTTCTTCTGTCACTGCCGACGCAGACGTCTAGGAGATGAAACGTGTGCGTATTTGTGAGGCAACGGTGCACATAAAATCTGAACATGGTATTCTGTCTTTCAGATGTGTCTACCTGCATAGGTTAGCAAGGTTTAAAATGTATTTTCTGACTTCCCACCTATATTGTGGCCCGCTGACGGGTTACTACAGAAGGCCTGGTAAGGTAACTGGTGCGCTTTTTATTGAAAGCACCGCGGTCAGGTCCATCCAGAGAGCTGAGAAAAATTAAGTGTACAAATATCCAAATTTACAAAACACAAGTAATAGAATCATGATTCAGATTACAAAAGAATTCTCTGCTTTGCAAAAGAAACCGACTCCTTTAATTTTCTTTTTTTTTTTTTTTTGAAGAAATGC